GGCCTCCAGCGGGGCCTCCGCAGACTCAGGCCCAACCGCAAGGCCACCCCAGCAGCGCCCGCCGTCCTGTGTCCGTGAGCCCCGAGCAGGCCCCGTTCCCACGGAAGGCAGGCCCAGGAGTCTCAGGACCCCGTGGTGACCTGGGGGACCCACACGGGCAGGCTTGCCCTGACCACACCAGCCTGGCTCGGGTTGGGATGGGCATAGTGGTTTTTGGACCCGTGCCAGCTCCAGGTTGTTAAAGCCCCTGCCTGGCATGGTCAAGCCTCTCCTTCCTCACTGAATGGGTTCCTCCATAACGCTCAGGCCCTTGCTATGTGCCAGGCACTGTCCTGGAAGTGACAGCGGGTCAGGGACGCGGCCTTCCACCCAGGTTGCTGTGTCGGGGGTGGCCACTTATAAGTCCAGGTTATTGCCTTGTTGAGTGCCCTCCCCCCTCCCGCCGCTCACCCCTGGCAACAGCCTGGGCAAGCTGCAGGCTCACCCAATTTAGGGAGATAAGAAGGTATAGGAGAAGGGGTTAAGTCAGTGGTTTACAAGACAGCACCTGAGTTCTCTCATTGAAGAGGGGCAGTGCCTGAAGGGTGTTGGGGGCACCTTGTGGATGGTGGACGATGTTGGTGAGGGTCCTGGCTCCTGCTGTGGCTCAGGTACAAGATTTGGGGATTGATGACCCAGTTGTGGAAGCTGTACCCGAGTCATTATCCAAAGGCCTTTTGGTTGGCACCCCTCTTCTTACTGTTTCCTTTTCATGATCAGCCTTTGAAATAGCAAAGCCAACTCCCTAGTGTGGCACCCAAGGCGCTCAGCCCCTCTCCTGTCTCCCTCCCTGACTTGTAATCCAACCACAGCCACACTTTCACCTTCCCTGCTGCTCCCTCCGTTCCTTGGAAACACCCCACTAGACTCCGAGCTTCGAGCTTCGGCATTCTGCAGGCAGGTCTTTTTGTCTGCTTTCTCCAGCGCCTGGCAGAGCAGGTGCTCAAAACACAGTTTTTGAATGGCGCAATGAATTCCTTCGAAACCCTCAGCTTTCCGACATAAAAGTCGGTGCTAATTGGATCTTATTTTCTTCAAAAGATTTTGCAGCAGCTGAATGTTTTCACACATTTGTAAAGGGTATGAAGAGCACGTATGAAGATCTATCACTCTTTTCTTGTTTGCAAACACATTGCAGACAAGCGCAGGGCTTTCTAGCAGGGGTGAGGCAACAGGGGACCGTCCCAGAGGGTGAGGGAGGTAAGGCTGTGCCTGATGGATGAAACGGGACTCCCACAGGCAAACAAGACAGGGGAAGGCATCTAAGTGGGGAGAGGCCCGGCAAGAAAGTGCAGACCCAGGGTGTCCCTGGAGAACAGAGAAGGGGAGGAACGGGTGATGGTGGTGGGTTGGGGAGTCTGAATCACTCCATCTACTTTTGCAAACTGTGGAAGGATCCAAGAAGTGTTTCAGAAAGCTAGATCCTGGCGCTCTGTGTAGGGGGAGCTGGAAAGGAAAGGAGCTGTCGGTGATGAGATGATTTGGGAGGTTCTTTCCTTTTAGATGGCCCCAAGACAGGACGAACGAGATGATTCAATGCAACCACATTTATTGAACACTTATTCCATACAAAGCAAGAAAAAAAAAATGGGATGTGCTTGTTGGAAGCAGACATTACTGATTCTGGTTTTAAGCCACCCCTGAATCAAAGAAATCCAAACTAAACAGAACATTAAGGAATTATTCCACTTCAAATGCCTGACAGTTTCCTCAAATGTAGCCCGTGACAGACACAAATACCTCCCAGGAAAGGACACTTTCCACTGCACTTTCCAGACTTCAGACTGAGACAGGCGCACTTTGTTCAGATGCATTTTATGAAGCTGTTAGTCCACAGGTTGGAATATATTTCACCATCAATAAAAAAACTCACCTTAATTACATTTTCTTTTAAAAATGCAAAATAACTTACCAGATCTTTAATGCAATCCGAGAAGTAACTTAAGTTTTTGGTGACTTGAGACTCCTTCCAAACTCAAGTGGGTGTTCAGACTTAATTTAGGAATTGAGGAAAAGGCTAAAAACTTCTGGAAGAAATCAGAATAAAGTTCCCAGGACTTATTAGGAAGTTTTGGGATATAGTTCATATTCTAGACACATTTCTGAATGACATCATGTGAGATGGCTCCGGGTGTGTGAGTTGTACACGCCTGTGTTCACTGCATGCTGGAGCTCACCTGCACTAAATCCCCTAATCCCTGTCAGACTCAACCCACAGCCACGAAGCTCCAGATCCCACCACACCTCATAGGAGACGGAAACACTGACCACCCACCTGCCCTGGGAGCACTTGTTTTAGCTTTCTAGTGTTTTCATTCATTCATTCAATATAGATTTATTGAATCTCAATTCTGAAGAGCTCCAGGCCGGGTCAGACTGTGGGGATATAGTGGGGGAGGGGTGTGGTTGTGTGTGTGTGGCAAGGGTAGGGAGCAAATACAGCAGTAAAGCCCAGCAATCCAGTCACTGGGAGCTGAGTCTGGAGGATATTGGGAGTCGGGTCCTGAGGGTGAGGCGTGTGCCAGGCAGGCTGATCCCAGACAAGGAAACCCTTCAGCAAGGGCCCAAAGTACTAAAGGGTGTGGTCCATCCAGAACCGTCAAAAGCTTTAGTGATATGGGCTGGGCGTGCGATGTACACCGAGCCAAGGAGTTTGGACTTGACCTTGTGGGTAACTGCAAGCCAGGGGAAATGCCTCAGTCAGGACTGGCGTGAAGCAGAGGTAGGGCTCGTGCCTGGCTGAGAATGGCCTGCTCTTTCCTTCTTCACAGGAGGAAGGTCTCAGCACCAACCACCTGCATCCTTGGCATCCTGGGCGCAGCTGGCCGAGAAGGGAGCCCACCTGCCAGACTCTGCCTTCCCTCCCCTGGCCCCCACTGCCGGCACATCCGGGAATGCCCTGGTCACACTCTGTAAATATTGTCACATGTGGCCCTGGCCAGAAGCTCGGTTGGTTGGAGAGAAGTCCAATTAAGGAATTATTCCACTTCAAATGCCTGACAGTTTCCTCAAATGCAGCCCGTGACAGACACAACTGCATTCAAAAGGTGGAAGGTTTGATCCCTGGTCGGGAGGCAACCGGTCAATGGTTCTCTCTCACATCAGTTTCTCTCTCTCAAATCAATTTTAAAAAATTGTCAGACGTGCCACCTGGAAGGTTTGCACTCAGGGTTCCCGAAGGATTGAAAAATGAACTAATCGCCATGAAAATAACTTTTCTCTAGAAACTCTTGAAAAATGCATTAACTTATGGAAAAGTTGAAAAGCCAGTAGAAATTATACTCTTTACCTATATTCAGATATTTATTTTTCTGCACCATTTAACCCTAAATACCTCACTGCATCTTTCTTAGGAAGAAGGGACACAGCCTCCAACACCCCCCTAGTCACAATAACATCCTGATCACATCCATGACAATTTGTCATTGAAGCAATGTTATTACCTAAAAAAAATGTCTACACTGGAATTTCTTGAATTGTCCCAAGAATGTCCTTCATGGCCTTTTCTCTTAAAACCAGAATCCAAATGGGCATCAAGCATCCCACCTGGTTGTTCCCTTGAATCCAGAACTGCCCCTGCCTTGGTCTCTCCTGGAGGTCTCACAGTTTGGACTCTCCTGGTTGTCTCCTTATGTGAGATCTGGTGTGAACGTTTTTTGGCAATAATACATATTGTTTCCCACGGCACCCAATCAGAAGCCATGTAACCCATGTAAGCTCCCATTACTGGCCAAGGCTAGTTGCTTGGTTTCCACGGGTTCACATGGTGAAGATGTAAATCACCCTTCATAATTAATAGAATCAGGGTCAGTTTCCTCCTCCTAATGTGTGGTTTGACACTCTGAGAACAATAGGATGATCTGTTTCCAGGGTTTTTACCCCCGCTTTTGTGTGCAATGGTGGTGTCTGTCTGAATCAAGCATCAGCTGCGGCCAACTCCTCCTTCCACACACAGCACCTGCTATGTTTTT